GGTATTAAACATTGAAAAGAGGGAAATGAATCAAATTTGGTGGCGGCTAAATACCCCGGAAGCATAAAAGGGCGAAAAAGAAGCTTACTTTACACAAAAACCAGACTTTGGTCAGACGTAAAATTTTCATTTGAATTACCTTCTTCGAACAAACAAAAGATCATTATGGAATTGAAAACATTGTCTTTGCTAAATTGATTTGTCTTCTTTTACTTACTAGTTTGATTGACCAGAAGAAACGGCTATGGTTGTTGTAATTGCATCTGGAGATGAACTGGTCTTGCTTGCTTCTTTGTTGCCTTCGTCCAAGCGAACAACCTGAGCAAAACTTTTGGACATGTTCTTGATGAAGTCTGTGGGCAATGCAGCTGAAGCAGGTTTATGCTCGTTTTCCCCTACTACTACTCCTCCTCCAGATGGCAAGCTTGGCTGTCTTCTTGCCTTCCGTTCTTGTATAATTTTCTCCCGCTCTTCGTAAAACCCAAAATCATCCAAGATTGACGTGTCAGCATCGTAGTTCTTGAAAATCTTGAGCATCTCGATGCCCTGTTCCAGTTTCACCTGAAGTTTTCGGTTGTGATTATGTTAGTGGTTTAAAAGAGGTATGTTGTGGACAAGAAAGCTTGAGAGGCGACAAATTGGTACTTACTTCTTGGGTGTCTCGACTATTAGTGACGGGCTTATTGTCGTTATTCTCCAATATAATGTGGCGGAACTGACTGTTTGGAACATCTTTGATAATGTGCCACTTCACTGGGAACTGTCCACTCCATTTGTCCTGTTGCCAATAATCAACGCTCTTCTCAAAATCTACTGGTCCAATCATCTCCGCTATCCCACAGAACTGAGAACTCGCGTTTACCTGCAAGTACAACCCTGTAAGCAATCTGTAGAAAGAAGGCAGATATATATACAAAAAGAAACAGGTCACTTGATCCAGGATTAGACTCGTACAGAGAAAAGAAGAAACACTGGGCACGGTTCTTTCGCTTCCTTGGCCTCGCGATAAGCACCGTCAAGCTTTTTGTTGCCATTAGGAGTGCTAGCCCATACATTGTATTTGATGCTCTTGTGAACATTGTCTTCACTGTAAGACTTGATTATGAAGAGCTTAGCATCATTGTAGTCGGTGACAAAGTCGGAATTGTTGTTGGATTCCTCGTGTTCCGTTGCACAGCCTTTGTTATTTTTCTTAGAATCAGCAGCAGAATCAAGCTCCTCTGATATCTGAGTTTTAGGCTTCAAAGCCCTTGGTCCTCGGTTTTGCTCGTTGAGGATATCAAAAGTACCATTATAACCGCCACCCAGGGATGGATCACTGACCCTTCCACGCCCTCGAGTGTTGTCAACCCCAATCCAGCTATGGTTTCCCATACCCACATTAGAAATTAGTCTACTTCCATAGTTAGACCCTTGTCCACGACCACCACTATGCATATAACCTCTGTTATAAGAGTTCGAGCCAGATCCAAAACCGTAAAACGATCTCTGTCGCTGTCCCCCCTGAAAAATTAAAGAATGGGAACCACTATCAACATATAGTTCAGTATGCAACCACTAGTAAAGCAAAACTATCCATGTGTTAGATAAGAGTAGCTACAAAAAGTGAACAAACCATGGGCATGTTCTGGCCAAATGATCCAAATGAGCCGAGATGCTGAGGAGATAAAGCCGGTGAAATAGAAGAAGAATGTCTGTGCATATCAGAAGGCTTGGACCAATCCGACCATATTCCCCCGTCAAAACCTTGCTGCCACTCAGGAAAACCAAGGTTTGGCTGGTTTCCATTAAAAGGTCCAATAGGGTGAGGATGGTAGGATGGGCGTGGTCCAATGTTATCACCTTGTTGGTCAACACCGACAAGGCTGGTGAGCTCGGGCTGAGTTGGAGAAGTAATATATTGCATGCTAGGAGGAACTACCTGCTGGTAATATGGTGAAGCCCCCGAAAATGGAAACTGTTGTGGCGAATACAATTGCCCCTCGGAAGGTAAGGGACTTGCAGCCGGGGAATATGGTCCATATGGCATTTGAGGGTTGTATCCATATCCCGTTTGGTAGACCAGAGAAGCATTCTCATTGAAGCCAACCTGATTATATCAGAAGAAAGAATATGAACAAAATGGACAAAAAACTGAAAAAGAAATCCCAAAAGAGAAGGTAGAGTACACACAGGAGATGGGATGTCCAATCCTTCAACGTTGACATACGAAGAATATTCGTCCCATTCGCCTGTGGGGTTTTCATAACCTGGCTCCGCAACATACAAAGGACTCCCGATTAGCGTCTAAACAATCCATACTCAGTTCAACAACTAGAGAAGTAATTCATGGGTAAAGGAAGAAGGCTTATGCTATTCCCTTTCGATTGTCCCTAGTATTATACTTCAAAAACCGCAAGAATATGAAACATCTAAACCAATACATAAACTCCATGACCGCAGAAGATACAGTGTAACTGGGATGTTTGGGATCTGATTCAGAGAAGCGAAAAGAAGTACACGAATCACAAACTGACCTCTATAGTAAAAGCCTTGAGCTTGAGGAGAGAGGATGCTGCTAGGTAAGTGTCCTGCAAAATCACCTGCTAAACCATAAGGTCCAGATAGTGGAGCAACTTTTGCTGGATGAACTACAACTGCAGATTCCTGGGAGGACTTAAAAGACGCTGATGTCTCGTTGTTTGCCGGAACAGGCTGCAAAAAAGTTATTTTCTTTGTGAATCTTCTTCATTCCAATAGAGATTATATAACCAGAGACCACTAGATCAACAATTACCTGCTCCTTCATGATTTCCAGACTAGCAGGTTGCTCCTCTGTTTTCATTCATAGCCGGTAAAAACTCGAATAAGTCGGTGGAATATTGCATGAACAAGATCAAGATCGGCAAACAAAAAGCAGATCCTAGTTTAATAACACAAAATTTGAACTAAAGAACACAAAAATCAATGCTCCAAGCTAAGCTAAGAGACCGGATCCCAGATCTTAGCAAAAAAAAGATCGAATTCTCCTAATCTTACACTTCCAATTATGCTCTAGTAACAGTGGATTCACGAAACCACTACCAAAACAAGATACAAAAAAAGAAGCTCGTAATTCTAAAATCAACGAACCCTAACACATCGGAATAAAAAAACATGAATCAGCTTCGATGTCACGGAATTCCGACACCGAACCCAACTAAAAAATTGGAAAAGGAAAGGCAGAGATCAAACGTAAAGGAATCAAATTTAGACAATTTGAGGAGAATTCGAAAGATGGGTTAGTGACGTTACCTGAAGTAAGATCTGCGGCGTGTGATTGAGTCGTTGCCATGAATCTGATCGAAAGGTCAAGAATAAGGATCTGATTCAGACAATAAAAACTGG